GATCTCACAAGCAGCAACAGCACAAAAAATGCTACCTCATTCCTAAACACATTAGTTTACTGACTGTTATCAGCAACAATTGAGAAGGAGTTTTCCTGGTGGGGAGAACTGCATGGGTGGTAGCACACAAATCCTGCATACAACAGCACCTGGAGTGCTGCTGACAGTGGGCAGGATTTGCTGGGCATGCAGTTGAACCCTTCAAGCTGCAGCCAAACCCACCATCTGGAGAATCTGTTGATCCTGCTGCAGGCCTGCCAAATTCATCTCAGCTGGAAGAGGGAAAAATAGAGGAGGGTGGTGACAATTTTCATACTACTGACAACTTTTTTGCAGACAATTCTGAACTGATGAGTGTTGACAATGACCCCCCCCATGTCATGTGCTGAGATGCCATCATTTCCCATACCATCCCCCTCCCCACTCTTCCCTGAGCAAGAGCTGCTGCTGCCCACTGTTGTTCCATTGCCCTCTCCATCCTCCACCAGGTGGCAGTCAACATTGGCCAACCCATCATGTCCCCCCCTTTTTTCTAAACAGTTGTTGCTGTTGTCCCTCCCTGCTAATTCTGAGCAGTTTTCACTTGCCCCCCCACCATCCTTCAATTTTTCCAAGTCATCTGCTGTCATGTCTCCTCCCCCCTCTATGTTTAACAGGGCAAATTCCATCAGCTTGAATGACAACCCCTGTCATAGTCATGTCTTGACCCTGGCCAGACTCAGCCTCACATTCATTTAGTCCAGCCTCAGCCTCACCAACCACTTACCCCAGTTAGTCTAGCATGGTTAACACTGCTTTGCAGTACATGTCACTTCAGTTGAACTCTGCCCGGTCTTGTCCCCAGCCCACCCTGTCCCAGTCTCTGTCACCTTAGTCATACATTACTAATACTAGTCTTACCAATCACCTTAGCAATCTTTGCAAGACTGGCTTTACCAGTCTCTGTACTATAGTTACTTCCAGTATATAAACCCATAGATACTTGGCCTGTATCCCCTCAGTCTGAAACCAACGAAGTTACCCTGATAATCCTGCCTCAGCCTCAGACTTGGACTGAAACCCATGCAAGGGAATAGCACTGCCTTCCCAGTCACTAAGTCCAACCAGTCCACCTCTGTTCCCCTGCTCCCCACCTGTTCCCAACCCTTTGGCCTCATGCCTGCTTCAGTCTCTGGTCCAGTCTCAACCCAGACATCTCAAACTTGACACTCATCATCTTCCCCCCCCAGTGTCACTGCTCTCTCAGATGACAGCAATTCAAAGCTGTCATCAAAGTCATTCTGTAAGTGTGCATGGGAAACCCCTGCTGACAAGCTTTCTTTGGACCTTGTGTGCTTCATTAACTTTTGTTAAGCAATTTCAACAGGCACAGCAGGATAGGTCAGAGGTCAAGTGTCACCAGCTTGAGTATGGATACTGGAGGACCCACCAGAAGGCCACTGCTCTCTCAGCCAATCACAAACACCAACTTACCATACAATGCAAGCTGTTTGCCCATGAGGAGACAATGGCAGCTTGTCAAAGTCATCATTGCCAGAGAAAAAGAAAGGGAGCAAGTTAAGCGCTGGCTAAAATTCTTAAGCACCTGTGTATGGCATTCTGGTTTTCAACATATCTCCACCATTTCTGCAGATACCAAGACCATTCTCACACTTGCTTGTAGTGCTCAGCCACGTGATCTTACCTTCCAAAATTGGAAGGGATTTGCTGCACTCCACACATTTCTACAGCACTCCCTCCAAAAGACACTCATTTCGTTAAATTCTTCTGATATGGCTGCCTCTACATCAATCATTTCACTTGTCCCCTTTGCTAGGGACTGTGGCTACATATATCTACCAGGAGTTCCTACCAGCTTCTGTCCTGAAGCATCCTGGTACATCCCACCCTCGTCTGTGCCCTCTCAGCCCATCCAGCTTGGACAGCATGTTCTTTTTGTCAGTATGACCTCTAGGAGGACATTCTTTGGTCACCTCAGGTCTGTCATTCACTTGGAAAGGTCTTATGTGGTCGTTTCAGTCTCCCCAGTCCAAGAAGCATATGGATCCTTCCTCCCTGCTCCCTGCAAGGTCTTCATACCAGTCTCATCCATCATTCTTCCAAGATTGCGACAGCTACAGTATATTTGCTTCACTGAGAGGATGGTTTGGGGGGGAAGGTTGTGATACCCTATGCTCCTGTCACCCCACAAACCCCCAAAGCTTGACCCCTGTTGACATCTGACTCACCCTGTCCACTTTTGGATGTACTATATCAGCATCAGATTGGTGCTGCCTCCTGTCATCCCACCTTGGCCTAGAAGCGATCTCTTTGAGATGTGACATGCACAGCCTCCCCCTAATGCGATTCCAGTGCGCTTTCCCAGTTCCTGACATTACTTGACTCATACTTTGACATTCTGACTGTCTTTGACTCACCTATTGCCAATACTTACCAATCTTTTGACTTTGCTTACTGATTCTTCACTTTTTGGCTTGCTAATCCTTACCAATGCTTACCAATGCTTTCCAAGACGATTACCCATCACTTACATTCCTTACTCATCAGTTACCAATCACTTACCAAGTGTTTGCACCTTGTTTTCCAAGGGCAACACCCCTGTACTGTATATAAATTACTGTACTTAGATAGCAAAAAAAAGAAGACATCAGAGAGAGCCCCTCTTGCCCACATTTTATCATCACTCAGTAATTCATTCAGCAGCTTCAATAGTTGAGACTTTATTAAGGGTCTAACTATTGTCTACTTTGCTTATCCTTGTCTATCATCCATATACTTCACTCCAAGCCCTCCCTGAGCTCAGTGCAGCTTAGGACATCAAATTAAGTCATCATCCATCCTTCTGTAGGCTGACAGCAGTCTACCCTATCACATTCTCTTGCATTGCTGCTTCTTCTTCATCAGGAGCACCCCCAACCCTCAGCACTCATCTTTGAGTGTTGTAGCTCACAAAAACCCTCCCAAAGAACAGGTTCTACCATCTAGGTACCACATAGGCACACCACCACTCGCTCTTTTTGTCTTTTGTGTTGGTTTTGGTTGGTTTTCACCACTGAACCACACTTTGACTCACATTGCCACTAAGTCCAGTGGTACAAACATGAAAACAAAAGCAAGAAACAAAACACAAGTCCCCCAACCCCTATTCTCTTCTGACCAAGACAACTTCTGGTAGGGAATTCAAACTTGTTCCCTACATCCAAGGGGTGGTTTAGAACTCAACTGTCCCTTGTCACTCTCCTCCTTGCACAGACACCCTTGTCCTTGCACTTGCTCCCCTCAACCTCACCACATATCCCTTGCTCCCTAACCTCACAGAACAACCTTCTCATCCCTTAAAACTCCTTGCCTTCGAACACAGCTCCTTCCACCCAGAGCCACCACCTGGCCTCTCAAACATGCACCCTGCTTCTCGAACTCCTCACCCTCCTCACAGATGACCCCTTTGACCCTCAATCACTCCACAGCCCCCAAACTCCTCGAACCAAACAACCACAGAGGTAACTCCCATCTGGTGGCTGAAGCCCTCGTGCTAAATGTCGCAGAGTGACTTCAAGTTGCCTGCCTTCATCTACTACTTGTTCACTGCTAGAAACAAAACATCTCGAAGTAGCACATGTTCAAACTATAATAAAAGCTGTCACCTTAGGTCTGTAGATCCTCAAACCCTCTTTGATGATAGGTCTTCGACCCTGGCAGGTATAGGCACTAATTTGCTTCAACCTCAAATTTCGGCCTTCCACCTTGCAGCTGGGTGGACAGAGTCTTGATACTAAGTGCCAATGAACAGCTTTGAACTGTCTGTCCCTGTTGATCCTTTTTGCCTTTGCACTAGGGACTCTGTACTTCACAGTAGAATATGCTTGAATCAAAATCAAAAAGAGCACCTTGGCTTTGAATTTCCCCTTCTTGAGTTTTGTCATTAGCTCTTCATGCTCTACTCACAAACCCGCACCATCTTCTTTTCCTTCGGATATCAGCAGCTGCACTTCGACTTTGGTGAGTACCTTAGTCCTGTAGATTCATGAGTAGAGCATCATAAAAACAGAAGACAAAAATGAGCACTCAGGCTTGGTGTGTGAATCCTTGTTGCCTCAAACATGTAGTGTGCAACCTTGTCAACCTGGTAGGCACTCTTTCACTACAAATACTGATGTGCACTCCTCTACACCAGAGGCTGGTACCACTGCATTAAGGTCACTGGAGTCTTTGCCCATACTCCATAGCTCTTCACATGACCTAGAACAACCTAGCCATAAGTAAAACTTTATGAAGAAAAAACAAAACTTCAAGCTGCCAGGTTCATCTGGTATGGTCCCAATGTCTCTTGCATGTTGTGCTACTTCTTCCACTGCTGAAGATTGTTGTCATAGTTCAAGCTGCATTCATTGTGGTCGCTTAACTGTATGTCCATGAGTCCTTTGCTTGAAGTCCATTGTAAACTCTTGTACAGTGGTTGCAACTCATTGTAGACATCTGTGTCTCCTATAATAACAACAATGTAAGCAAGACATTCCAAAACCAAGGCAAAAACTCGAGCTGTCAAGCTCAGGCTCTGCACCCATCATGCTTTGCCTCTGTTGCCTGGCACTTTCAATCTCTTGTGGCCATTGATCCATGCTAAGTCTCATTGTTGTTGCAAGTATCCACCATGCAGCCTCCTGGCCTCCATCATTGAGCAGTTCATAGTAGAACCATTGTACCACACTGCATAACCTGGCATGGACACTCCACTGTCCAGTCTCATATGTCACTGTACTCCTTCATAGAGACCAGGTTTCCCTATAGTAATGGTGCTGTAAGTGAAATGACACAAAATGAAAGAGAAATAATGAGCTGTCAAGCTCAGTGCATGAATCTCCTTCATCTCTCTTCCATTGAATGACTTCTATTGCTTCAAACAACCATCAATCACCAGTGAACTGCATCACCATCCCTCATACTCTTGTTGCCTCTCCTAGTTGCTTGTATGTATTTTGTACCTCTAAACTTGATAGCATTCATTTGTACTTGTCATGTACTCCTGTAAAGTCCCAGCAATGAACTTGCTCTCCATTTGTGATGAAGAGCACTTGTCCTTGGACTCGAGAATGGACAGTGAGGCACTCGAGTTCATGTGAGTTGAATGGGGTGCTGAATGTGGATAGGATGGATTCAGTGTTGGGCATGGATGTGACATAGGGGCTGAGTGTGCATGTGGAGCTGTGCAACCTGCAGTGATATTCAGTTGTGGCACATATGAGAGGGAGAGTGCAGTGTAGAGATTTGTTGAGCTTTGCTGTTGTGCTCTCAGGGTCTAGCCTGAGTTCACTTGGTGTGGTGGAAGAGTAAGAGGGAGGAGGAATGAGCTTGTTCCCTGTGAGTCTGTGTGCATGCATGATGTTCTCAATGAATGTACAATTGAACAGATTATTGTTGTCACCAGTCTGGACATGGGTTTGGCTGTGGCAACACACTCGATATGAGCCACCCTCCACTTGATGGTCTCCAGGTCTGAACATCTCCTGGGCATCATTATGTGCATTGAATGACTTCTCTGGAAAGGGTACTTGCTTGTTGACATTCATGATGTCAGTGCCAATAAATATGACACCTGCAGAACTTGTGTAGACAAGCCCGCAGACATCAGCTGCATTGATGATGGCTCAGGCCTTGATGTAGATGGGTGGGTCTTTCATGCCTCACTGCAGTAAAACTGTCCATATGACATATGCAATGCCCAATTCCTTCGATATATCCAACATGTCCCATTTGTCTTTGACATTTTCCCTGAATAAAATGGGACATCATGATGTCTCTGCACAATATCCAACATGGGGATGGTGTCTCCCATCACTAGTTGTTTGATGATATGTTGACCTATAGATTTGGTTGGTCATCTTGTTCCAGGCCTTCATACTGTAGGCATGCTGTTGCTCAAAGGTTCATTGACACTTTGTAAAAACTTGTGTTCCCTAAAACAATGTAGCTGTAAGTGAAACACTTGAAAGAGAAACATAGAACTTGGGCCTTTGAGCCCATTCAGCATGGTCTTGATACACCTTATGTGTTGTGTGTGGAGTTGCAACTCAGAAATCCACTGTTGTGCTGTATATAGACACATCCCTTCCCTGATGTCATCGTCCACCCTAATATAACCTAACTGTGAGTAAAAAGCCATACAACTAAAATAAAAACTTGGGCTGTCATGCTCAGTGTCCATGTCTGTTGAATCTTGTATCCTCAGTGATTGCTGCCATAGATCAAACTGTAGTCTTCACAGTTGCTTCACTGTACTTTGTTCATGGTTTGTTGTAGCTTCATTGATACCTTGTAAAAAGTCATACTCCCTAAAATAGTGTAGGTGTAAGTAAAATGGCTTAAAGGCAAAACTAACACTTGGGCCTTGGAGCCCACTTGGTGTGGTCTCTATACTCTTCACATGTTGCACATCTTGCTGTGACTTCGAAATTCACTGTTGTAGATCAAACTGCATTTGTCACGCTTGTCTTTCTGTACTCCTGTGGGACCTCAGTTTGTAGTTCTTTGTAGATTCTTGAATAGTGATAGCTAGGATGTAGGTCATGCTTTGTCACCTCTACCCATTTTCCTTAGAGTAGAAATGCTGTAAGTAAAATGCTCTGGAATCAAAATGAAACCTTGAGCTGTAGTGCTCAGTATCTGCATTTGTCACACCTTGTGTCCATTGAACAGCTGTTCCAGCATCATGCAGTCTTTGGTCTGTGCCAAGCATCACTGTCGCTGTTGCTCCAGTCGCTGCCATTGTCCTTGCCAAACCTCTGCATGATCTTCATTCTTAGTTTGTCATAGATACTTGCTCAAGTGTTTGAGCTTGGTAGCCCCCATCACACTCCATGTCCATGGGATGGCTATTCTTGTGTTGCACAGCCTTTGGTTTGTGCCAAGCATCATCATCATCATCATTCTTTGCACTGTGGCCCCCTGGATGTCACTTGCATGTCATCATATACAGTTGCTTTCCCTAAAATAAAGTAGATGTAAGTAATGCATTCCAGAATCAAAACAGACCCTTGGGCCATTGGGCCAAACATCTGTGCTCATCACACCTCATCTCCATTGAATGGCTCTTCCAGCCTTGCATGACCTTCCATCCTGTAGAACTTTGTATTCCCTAAAATGTGGTAACTGTAAGTAAAACACTTCAACTAAAAGACTAAACTCTGGGCCATCAAGCCCAACCAGTGTGGCTTCAACACTGTTTGCATGTCGTGCACCTTGCTGCAATTCTGATACTTGCTGTCATGCTACCCTTGGTAGCTGTCCTCAGGTGTAAGTCCACAAAATCCCTTTGAATGTCTCTCTTCAGGCACTTTGTGGTTGCCATAGTTGTTGCACTGTATATCTCATAGCTTCTGTACTAGACAAAAAGAATAATACCACCTTTGAGCCTTCAGCTTGCTCTGACTGCTTGCCCCATTCATAGTAGCTTTGTTGGATCGCTTTGCATAGTTTTTCTTTGATGGTCCACTGACTTTCCTCATAGGTCATTGCAGTCCATCGTATCATGGCTGCTTGGATGTAGCTTGAGCATTGTCTTGCACATCCATTTTTCCTAGAATAGAGTAGTTGTAAGTAAGACATGGAATCAAAACAAAACCCTTGGGCCATTGAGCCCAGTACCCATGCTCATCGCACCCCATTTCCACTGAATGGCATCTCCTATCTTGTACAGCTGTTGATCTGCTCCAAGTAATGTTGTTGTCATTGTTGTCACCATAGTTGTCACCATGGTTGTCATGGTTGCTCTTGTTGTACTTCTGGGTGAGCTTTGTTTGTAGCTTGTCTTAGAATCTTGAATTGTGATCACCAGAATGTTGGTTGCACTTCATCGCAACCAACTGCTATCCCTAGAATAACATATATGTGAGTAAGGCATCTCGAAATCAAAATGAACTGTTGAGCCATAGAGCTCCATATCTGCACTCTTTGTGCCCCAATCCCATCAAACAGCACATCTGACATTGCTTGGTGATCGATCTGCACTAAGTCTGACTGTCATCATCATTCCTTGTATTGCAATCTTCTGGATCTCAGTTGCTCTTCATTGTACATAGTCATTTTCCCTGGTGTAGAATAGATGTAAGTAAAATCATCTAACACTGAAACAAACCCTTGAGCCCTCAGGCTCAGTATCCATGCTTGTTGTGCCCTGTTTCCATAGCACAGCACTTCCTATCTTGTATGGTCATTTATCTGCACTAGGTAAGGTCATCATTGTTGTCATCGCTGTAGGGAATGTAATTTCCCTATCAGGGGAATTGGTTTATTTTCCTTGTTTTACTTGGTTTTCATTCCTAGATACTTTTTTCTATGAGTTGCACTTAGATTTCGCATTGTTGGTTGCTTAGTCAGCAGTAATGCTACTTGTGTATGGTTTTTTCCTTTAAAAAAAAGAGACAAGTTACCCTAAGATGAGAGACAAGCTCAAGCAGGTCATTCCTTGCACCAAGACAGCCATAGAAGCCTTCAGACAACTACCAGGATCCAGTCCCAGGCTATAGAAGCCCCTTTTGGCCTACATATTCCCCTCAGATATCCCTACTAAACCTCTCTCCTCATTTAAATCCCATGTTCCTACATCACTATCTTGCTACTTGCTGCCTTTGTCACTCTTGTTGTTGTCACTGTCACTTGTAGTCATGGTAGCTTCCATACAGTACCTTGTCCATGCCATTCTTCATATCCTTTGATTGCTGCAATCTTGTGCAGTTGGCCTGTAATACTAGATGCATCAGTATGTAGTACTTGAGTGTGCACAGCCACGATGCACAGAGCGGTCACATGACTCCACTTAGTCAACATTGCAGGACTTTCTGCAGAAGTCCTAATACTGAGTGTGCACATCAATACTCTTGATGAACTGAACTCCTGAATAAAATATATATTGCTGACACTGCACAGCTGCAGAACATTTTAAGTGCAAGGTCATCCACCCTTGCTGCATGCTTCAACACTTCGACTTGCAGAATTTCTTCTGGCAGCTTCCTTCATGTGACCAGCTTCAATGGTCTCTCGATCTCAATCCTTCTTGCAATAACCTTTGACTCAGTACAATTTGTGCATTCCAGCATTCTGTGTGAGTCTATGATCCCTTCATCTGCCAACCTTTTTGCTTCAAGACTGTCTGTGAGCTTTTCAAGCTCTTCAATTTCAACTCTTGTGTGCTTTGTGTGCTCTTCAAGCCTTTCTGCTTCAAATTTGAATGGAATCTTTGACACAAACATGTCATCAGTTAACTGATGTGCTTCCAAGCTGACTGCAGGAGCTTAGATGGGGCCTTCTTTAAGACTTTGATACCTTATACCAACAGTATCAGTAGCTAATTGAGGACTTTGGTGAAAGCAAAACAAGGAACCCCTTCAAGTGCACTTGCTCGCCTCAGATTTGATTGGGACCTTCACAATGAGTGGTTCTTCCACCAGTGCTGGTTTGACTTGCTCGAGCTCTACTTCTTCCTGTAACTCAGTAGTTAGCAGTTCATTTGTACTCAAAGAAAACTCTTTTGTCTGGAAATGGGCTGCTGCTGCTGCTTCAACAAGCCTGCTGGGACTTCGGTCTTCACTCTTTCCCTTCTCAGATGGACTGTGTGGCTGTGCATGACTTGTCAAAGCTACTTCTGGTACTTTCCTGCATATTGGTTGTCAGTGAGTCATGTGTGGCTGTAGATGAAAAACACTTCATAGGTAGATGTTGCTTGTCTGAACTCAATTCCTGGTTGCTTTGTGACTGAATGTACTGTTCTGTGCCTCTCTGAGGTCGCTCCAAGTGAAATCCTTTCTTTAGCAATTTTGCAGCCACAGCTGTTACTTGTTCCATGGGCCATGGGTCATCTGAGTGTCGCTGTTGATCATCACATCGCATTTTCTGAACAATTTCATGCTGGAATCCTTTGTCAAAGCTGTGTAAATAGAGATCTTCAACTTCATCAGCCTCAAGCTGTCTCAAGACCCATAGATATGTCACCAAGTCAAGGAAATGTAGCCTGTAAATTGTTAGCTGCTCCTGTGAATGAACTTTTCTCTTTGCAAGCCTGTCAATGAGATTGTAAATATTGTCTCTCAAATACTGTCAATCCCATTCCCTAGACCCTGGATATAAGCATGCAACAGCCACCATGAACTCAGGCCAGCTCAAATGCTCCTCAACAAACTCATACCAGGCATCAGAACTTGCACTGCCTGCATACCAGCATGCCCATTTGGCCCATTCTTGATCATCAAAACACTCTGCATGTTTGCAAAGTCTTCAGACATTTGCAAGATACCTAAAAAGGTCTGTTGTGCATCCCAAGAATTGTGGTGCATCACTTGAATGTCTTGGTGGCATTCCCTCGATCCACTTTGGCACATTCTCGCAGCTGCTTCATAAAATTTCCACAATCAATTTACCTTCAGAATTTGCTCTTGACTCATGTGACTCTCATGAACATTGCTCACCTGTCAATTTCTGCTCAAGTAGAAGACCTGAAAATTTCCTAAATTCTGAGTGCAGATTGCAGTGAAACTAAAAATTCCAAAAGACTTAGCTAATTGTTCCAAGCACTTGTGGTGATAAGGTGGTGACTTCTTTCTCCAAATGAACAGACCCCCCTTGTGGTGGGCTCCAGATGTAGGAATAGGTAATAGATGTTACCTAGAATTAGTAATTGTCAGAGATGGGCAAGATTTGTGCTCAACCCAAAAGGGAGGTCTCACTGGAGAAAAGAAGTGTAGTAAAAAGGTGAAAAATGCGAACTGAAAAGAATACTTAGCTCTGTTTGTCCAATACCTCTTGACAGTCCTCCTGGCCCTTTGGGTACTCCCCAAAGTAATAATTCTAACTTCAAAAACTTGCTGAAATGTGAGACAACATCACCCTACTACTGAGGGCCTCTGACATGAATTGCTTCCATGGTAAACTGAACTTGCATGAACACAGCATGCATGCTTAGTCAGCAAAATGGCTGCTTGCCACTAAGTCCAGTGGTACAAACATGAAAACAAAAGCAAGAAACAAAACACAAGTCCCCCAACCCCTATTCTCTTCTGACCAAGATGACTTCTTGTAGGGAATTTGAACTTGTTCCCTACAGTGCTCCATCTGGTCATGGGTGACAGGACTGGCCCTGGCCTCAGCACTGGTCTTCTTCATCGAAGGCCCCTCCTCCACATTGTCCTCTTCATCACCTGCACCCTTGAGTACCTTAGCAGATGGGCACCATGACCTCTTCTTCTTCTCACTGGCATGAGGGGACATCATGTCAGCCTTCCTCTTACCCTTGTCAACACCTGGGCTGGCTCCCTGACTGGTCTCACCCTCAACCAGCCACCAGCAGTGCTCCTTGAGTTCATTGCACCAGTTACAAGCCATGTGCTTTTTCTTGCTGTTGGTGCTGTGCACACAGGTCGTGTTGGTCTGGGCACATCAAAGGCAGCTGGTAGAGTGTTAGTCAAAGAGCACCAGTGATGACCATAATAAGACTTACTGAGGGTTCATCACCCCAATGTTATAACCAGCTCTGGTCAAACTACCCACTAGGGCATCTGCCTGCCAGCTCTGCTCTGCTTTCCAGGCTTCTTCAGCCTTGCATGTGGCCTCTACTCTCTGTGCCTCTGCCTCTGTGCATGCCCTCTCCTCTTTGAGCCAGGCTTGCTCCTGCCTCTCAGCCTCCAACCAGGCTTCCTCTTGCACCTTTGCCTTGTGCCTCTTGCATTCAGCCAGTTTTCCCTGGATGGCCTGCTTGTCATTGTCACTGCCTACCTGCAGCTTGACACTTGTTGCCCAGGTCAGGTCAGGCAAGAGGTCTTGGTCATATGGAATTTGGGACTGGTGAATAGACATGATGAAGTGAAGAACCAAACCTAAGGGGGTCCAGTCTTAAGTCCACTGGTTTTCAAGGTCAGACACAAAATTTTCATTCTCAGCATTGTCCTCATTGGAGCCTCATGGGCTTGGCTCCAAGAGGGGGATACTGTCATGACTGTTCCCAGACCACCCTAGACTGGCTCTACCCCAGTCCTGACCAGTCTCATCCAACCCTTGCCCCAGTCCTGGCCTTAACCCTTCAACCCAGAAACATGTTAGCTCATGAGGCACTGCAAGGCAGTGCCCAGTCAAGTTGTTCACTCAGTTGGTACCAGTCCAGTGTAATACCCAGCCCAGCCACAAGCCCTTCCCTGGTTCCCAGTAATCCTTTGTTCATAGTCTTGCTTGATAATATTCTTTGTAACATTACTTACCAATCAGTTTACCAATCATCGCTGTACTGGCACAAACCAGTCTCTGGTGCTACATTACACTTAGGTTACTTCTAGTATTTAAGCCATAGGATAATCTGTTTAGCCTCAGTCTGAAATCAACTTAGTCTTGTCATAACCCAGTCCCCTCTGTTCTCTGTTCTCTGTTCTCTGTCTCCTGCCTCTCAACTGGACTATGGCCCATGCAAGGGAATAGTGCTGCACCTTCAGTTGCTAAGTCCAACAGTCCAACCCCCTTAGTATCTTGTATTATCCTCTGACCCCTGACCAGACTCCAGACTGGCTTTGAACTGGTAAAGACCCAGACTTAACAGAGAGAATACCTAGCCCAATACAACAAGTTAACAAGGGCTTGGAGCATGGAAATCACTGCAGTTCCAACCAACCCCCAACATGCAGGGGCCTGCATCTGGTACCAAGGGAAAACTGACAATGATGGCATACCAGAAGAATTCAATGAAGACTGCTCACAAGATCTCCATGACCTATCACATACCTCACC